GGAAGATCTGAATATAGACTAGGCATTAGATAGTATTAAAAAATTATTAATGTCGTCAGGTGTGATAATGGTCTGAGGTTAGGGTTTTGAGTTTAAAGAAGAAAACCTCCCTTTACTAACACTGAAGTTTTGGTAGGTGGAGATGACCTCATTTCTGAGACTTGCTGATGGTGCTTCTAGCAGAGAACGAGGCGGGAGCGGATGAGGCAGGCTCAGTGCTGAGGACTGCTAACGTTAAGAGTGTACATGGTTATTCTCTGTATGTTTATGTATGTTTTTAAGTTTCTGTCTTAAAGTTTGGGAAAAAGTAATGGCACAATTATAACATTTTCAGACAAAGATCGAGAGTATTAGCAGATTATCCCTTGAACAACTAGGAGGACGTCACCTGACAGGAGGGCGCGTGTGGTTCAGGAAACCGGCAGGCAGACGCTGCTGAGCACAGGCAGACGCACACAGGCAGTGACTCCGTGAACTCTGAGTGCGTGAGTAACAGCCAACAGACCACGCACAGCGCCCCAGCGCCGAAGGTCGGAAGAGGACGTGGGAATTCTGAGTTTTCGGGGCCATGTCTGCTCTGGTGGTTGAAGCCAACGGTGATGATTATCTCTGGACTTTGCTGGGTCAGCGACACATCACAAATGAAAGCGTAACCACCGAAACAGAGGGAAGCGGCTGGGTGGCTTTCAGTCAAGTGGGAGAGGCAAGTGAGGACTCACAGAAGTGTGTTCTCAAAAGAGGCAGAATTCCCAGCCCCGTGATGGTGGAGCTGCCTCAGGGTGGGGGAGGGCACCGCACCTGGCTCTCTGGACCTGGCCCTCGCCCAGTTGTGCAGCGTTCCCGTGTGTCTTGGTGAACTCTGGTTTTGCTCGGGGCTGGCTGTACTTCCTCAGCCCAAGGAATCCAGAGCTCTTCAGTTCTGGAAAGGATCTTCTCAAGGACTACTTCCTGCTCACTCCCTGATTTTTCTCCTGATTATCTTACTAGATGTCTTACTTTGCCCCCAGTTTTAATCTCCTTTGCGTATTTGTTTGTTTCACTGTGCTGTTGTAGTCTATTCCTCTTGCTTGTCAGTTCATTAATTCCCTCCTCACGGTGATACTAACCTGTTTGTGGAGATTTCCATTTTAGTGACCGTATTTATTTCTAGAGATTTTGCTGCCGCTTCAGATGTTTTAAATCCTCATAGTGCCTTTTTTATTCCTTGGGTTTGGTCCCAATTGCATCTCTCTCCTGCCATTTTAAACAACAGATGACATTAGGTCTTGATTTTCCTGTTATTTCTACTCTGGGGAACCTGATCCCTTTATATGCCACGTCTGCTCACACCCTCCTGGCAGCTCAGTACCTTCTGTGGCTGATACTGTTTAATGGTGGGTTCATTCCTGATGGTGGGTTCCTGTGTACACTGGGTGGTAGAAATATGTCTACAGAGAGGAATAACATTTGCTTCTTAGGGGTTCCCAGAGACTTGTTTGTCCCAGGCGGGTCCTGGTAGTCCTGCAGGAGGAGAGCGTAGGTTGGAGTGGTCCTGCTCAGCAGGTGCGGGCTCAGGTTTTGGTTTCCTCCAGGCTGTGCTCCCATCTCTGAGCAGCCTGCGCACTTCCTTGCTGTTTCTCTAGACCAGTGCACAGACGCTTCCAGACATCTTTGCATCGGCTCTGCGGGTTACTGTGGGATCCAGTTTTATTTGCCTGGGTTGGAGCGGGTCTGTTTTCTTCCTGCATTGGGTGTAGCCCCAGCTGCTGGGGCCTGGAGGCAGGTCTGTCTCCCCTCCCCTAGTGAGAGGGTTTCCTCTTTGCTTTTGGCACGTCGTCCCCTCCTTCTCTTTTACACGTCTATATTTAAATTTTCTTGTTTTCAGCATTTTTCGAGTATATTGTAAGAAAGGGAAGACTTGCTGCCCTAGTCAGCCCCTGGAAAGGTAGCACTAAGCTACATTCTCTTGGTTTCCCACACCTCAAAACCAGTGAATTTTATTAATTTTTAGCTACCAGATGGGCCAAAAATGCTGCTTTTCTTAGGAGAGTAGGGCAGTTGAGTATTTTCTAATCTATTTCCTGGCTGTGTGCTTTTCTATCTGTTATGAATGGCCGTAATTTAGCCTCTCTTAGATTAATATCAATGCTGTTTTTGGTAGAAGCTACTAGCGGGCTTCCTAGGCTGCCTGGGAGTTACCTGTGCCCCTGCTGCCCCGTGCCCCTCCTGTTGATGGCACGTTTCCTCTGGCGTGACCATCCCAGGAACCTGGACAGTGGTGGGGCGAGCAAAGAGCCTTGCATTGGAAGTCAGGAGTGGCCTGGCTAGGGTCTGGCAGCCAGGGGCTTCCTGTCTCCCCTGCAGGGTCTCCTGACAGACCCACCTTGGGCGTTTGTGGAAATTATGCTTCCTAATTGGAAGCAGGGGCACGTTGTGGGTGGCACACCTTAGCGGTACCCTCTTGTTGAAAACTAACCACAGGGTGTTTTGGGGAACTTGATCTTGAGACCTCCCATTCAGCAGCCAGCAGAATTGGGAGCTCTTTTTTTCTAAGGGAGAAAAGGCAACCTGCCTGGACTTAATCTGATTTGTCTGGGTTTCTTCTGCCTGTTTTTTTATTTTTATGTAATGTTAGTAACCTGAAACTTTTTCTTTGGAAAACTTTTTTTCTTATAGTTCTTACAGTAAATTAATTGAATTTTATTAACTGTGGTGTTGAGTTGTGAGGTATGTCTAAAGTTTAAAATAACAGAGCTGGCAAAATCATTACTTTTAATATGATTTAAAGCAGATTCAGGGTCACCGTTAGGAAGCTCACTTCACCGGCATGCATGCTGACGTGTGGCTTATGATCGCAGGGGCTGTGATTTAGGTGTGGACGGTCTCCCCTGTAACGGTATTTTCTGTCCTGCCTCCAAATTGCAGATTTCAAAGATGAAAAAGTGTTGTTTTTTCTCAAATGAAAACATTTCGTAGTGTTTTCTTCTACAATTAAATTCTTAGCTGTAGAAAAGAGATTGAGTAGGAAAGTGTGCCAGCAAGAATAGATTGGTTTTCCTCCTAGTGGCTCTTACAGTGTAGAAGGGATTTGTTTCTCTGAAGTTTTGTTTTCCATCCTATGGGCAGAGAGAATTCTTGTAACTTGGAGCAGCACCTTGTCTTGTTGTTTTCGACCACCTGGAAACACTTAACAGTGAAGCGTTGAGGGAAGATTTAGGAACTTCCGTGAGGCGTCGAAGGAAGATTGAGGTAAACGGCTCCTCAGGAGGAGGAGCCAAGGTTAAGGAGCATGAGGTTGGTTTGGGGCATTCTGGGTTTCTCTTGCTAGAAGATGGTGCAGCTCCTGAGGAGGCAGTTGACGTTAGGGACCTGCAGCCTTAGTGTTTGGGGTTGAAGGCACTGTTTTGGGATATACTACCTCAGACCCCGGGACACATGGGAGGAGAGGAGAGCAGAAGGGACGGACTATAGACAGGTGCTGCTCACACCAGAGGAGAGGGGTGTGTTCCCACCCAGTGAGGGGGTTCACACGGCAGGATTCTTGCAGTGGAGATGAGCTTTGAGGGAGAACTGGTAGGAACTAAGTCCCCTAGAAAATGCTCATCAGACTTCCTTGAGGGAAGAATGTGGGAAAAAACCTCTCCCTTTCCTTTGTCCCCACTAGCCCCAATTTGATACACCGCCCCTGCAGCCCTGGAAAACCAGTGGTAAACAGAATCCATAGAACGAATGTTAGATGTACAGAATGTAGAATCAGTGTTAGACCTATCTGCCCACCCCATAGAACTGTTGGTAGATCTGCCCCATGGAACTGTGGTAACCAGACACACACAAACACACACACACGCACACACACACACACACACACACACACACAGAACCAGTGATAGACCCACCCCATAGAATTGTGATAGACACACACTGTCCATCTCATCATTAATAGAAACACACACATGCCCATAAAACCATTGAGAGACAGAGGAACCCACCCCATAGAACCAATGATGGACACCATGCACTGTCTGTAGAACTCATGGTAAAGACACAGACACTGTCCGTAGAACTGATAATAGACACACACAGCCCCATAGAACTGTGGAGAGACAGACCCACCCACACACCAGCAGTAGACACACCCACACTGTCCATAGAACTGGTGATAGAGACCCTTCCTGTAGAACCGTCGGCAGGCAGACAGACCCACCCCGGAGAGCTGACGACGGGCATAGACACACCCACACTGTCCATAGAACCGGTGATAGAGACCCTTCCTGAAGAACCGTCGGCAGACAGACCCACCCCGGAGAGCTGACGACAGGCAGGCACGGTGCCAGGTTTTGTTTGGCGGGTGTTATGCAGAGTAAATATGTGTTGAGTGGATGTGGGGCGAAAGCGATGCTGTTTTAAAACATCGGAATCCTTGCTGGAATCAGGACTGCTTTAATGGTTTCGCCTGGTGTGGAAGTGAAGATGGTGTGGGTTTTTCTTGTTTTTGCCCCTGCTTTAGATGACTTTTCTTTCTCCTCCTTGTCTTCTGTGAGCGATGGTTATTTCAGGCTCTGAGCCAGATCCTGCTTCTTTAGAGAGACTTTTCCATTCTGAGGGATCGGAATCCCTAAGTTTTAGCCCTGAAGTTTTAATATTGTTACGTATCTGCCAAAATGCCTTTTATTTGGGTGTCTGGGTGATGCTTTATATTTATCACACTATGGAATTGTCCTTGCAGCTAAACTGCTTTGGTTTTGGCTGCCACTCGTAGAGCAGTCTCTTAGACGCCTGTGGCTTGAAACTGGGAGAACAGGGTGGGGATGGGGTGCGGTGATTGGCCTTGGTGAGCCGCGCCTGAGGGACTGGGTTTCTGGGGCACTGAGAGTCACCGTGGACGGCCTTTTCCTCGGCTTGCCGTTTGGCTTGTTAATTTGGTGAGGCTGCTGGATGAGTATCCTTGGCCTCTGTGAGGGGCTGGAACTTTTGTCATCTTTAGTACTGATCAGTAAAACTATGCTACGTTTTTATTTCAGAGAAGCCTGTGTCTCCCAAATCAGGAACGCTGAAGAGCCCTCCCAAAGGATTTGATACGACCGCCATAAACAAAAGCTATTACAATGTGGTGAGTAATTGCAGAACGTTTTTATAACTAACTGGTTTTTTGGCTGTCTCTAAAACTCAGCAATGTAGAGTGTAGGTGAAGTACCTAGAATAGGAAGAAGGAAATAAAGTTCATTTATCTGCCACACAAATGTAACCACCCTTAAGGTTTTGGTCTGTTTCCTTCTAATCTCTGTGTTTTTGTAATTGTATGTTTTTGTTTTAATATCGTGTATATGGAAGTGTCCCTTGTCCCATAACATAGTAATATGGCTGTTTCCCCATGCCATAGCCAGTGTTCAAAAATGATATTTTAAAAGATGTATAATGTGATTTGAAAATTCTATATGCATTGAGTGCCATTCTGTTTGTATTCAGAGCAGACTGTAAGTACTTTAGACATAGGGCTTCTAATTTATTTTTTCTCTTAATATAGTGTTTCCCAGGATTCATGCGTACATATCACATGGCGTAGAATTAGGGGAGCATGTCTAAACGCTATACATGTTAAAGACAGGTGTTTCTGGATCCTAAAATTTGCTGCTTAATATGTTCAGTATGTGATACTAAATCTGTGTGGTCTAATGCTATTAAATCAAATAGATAGTCTCATGGTACTAAATCTGTATCATCTAAACCTTCTTTGTACCTAAGCTTATGTAGCAGTTGCATGCTCTATAGAAATGGAAAATAATATAAAGAATTTATTAAAATTTTGAACTCAATATGATAACAACAAAGTAAACCCTCTAAACATATGTATGTTTTGAATTCTGGGGAAAATGTGCATTTGTTTTGTTATTTCTTTCCCTACTCCCAGTCTTTTTTATTTTCTTGGTGAGGAGATATAAATATGAACCCATGAGAGTTTTGAATTGTTGGTGTGAAATAGCAGTTGATTGGTGTTTTTGTGCAGCAGTCATTTTATCGTGAGCATTTGCTTTTCTGCACCTGTGTTGGGAAACGGTGAAAGGTTGTGATGAAATGGGAGTCTGAACAGCTCCACCACGTGGACCTGTGCCACTGTCCTGTGCTGTGGGGCTTGCACTCTCAGCTTTCTCCTGAGTGCCCACCTTCCATCGGCCCCAGCATCTTACTACAGGACGGACCGGCCTGGGGACCCACTCATGAATAACTGTTTATTTGGTGCCTGCTCTGTGTAGCTCTGTTAAAGGCACCAGGGTGCACGGTGAACAGAATGGCAGGCGGGTGCCTCTCCCCTCTCTGAGCTCGCACTTGGGTACGGGAACACGATGGTCTTCTGTTGCCTCCATTTTTACTGCTTTTTTTTTTTCATAATTTGACATCTGTGCACCTTCTTGTGAACAGGTCTCTTCATGCATCATGCCACTTCTCTTACCTTAGTGCCAGTCTTTGACTTCTTTTTCCTCATATTTGGTCAACTCCAGATCCTTTTCTGCCTTGGAAACCCTTTTCTTTGCTTCCCCTCTTTCTTCCCTTTTTTTTCATTCATCTTCATTTGGCTACTTGGACTCTGCCTTCTATTTCAACTTTGTGGACTTTGAGAAGATCAGACTCCTTTTAGCGCGTCATGTGGCCCATGTTCCCGGGACACCTACTTTCTGTCGTCTCTCCTAGTGCTCTGCATCGCCTTCGTCCCTTGGCCTGTTGGGCATTTGCTCCTGGGATTTGGCTCCACTAACTTATTTCCTTTTTAGTGTGTAATGTAGTTTATGTGTAATTTTGTGTACATAGCTACAAAGACAGTAGGTGGGTTTTATGGGTTGTAGGAAAACTTGAGTTTTAACTCCTAGATCTGCCCTTTCCTCTTGCATTCTTGTATAAGACATTGCTTTCCTGGGGAAGGCTTCATGTGGTGAATAACACAGCCACAATCCACAGTGAGGTTCCAAAGGGTGTGTTACTTTCTGTTATGGTCAGGTCCAGATAATTGTGTTAGAAAAATTGGTTAACAGCGTTTAAATTGGTGCCACGGGCATTCTTTACTTTCTTCATTAATCTTCCTTTCATTAGGCATTTTATCAAACCAGACAACCATGCTTTTTTAGAAATCCTGGTGGGTTTTACTTTGCATTATATGTTCTGTAATACTTCTCAGATTGGAGCATAGTCGATACCTTTTTCATTTTCCTTCTCTAACTGTCCTTTTACAGAGAGGATAGCCTGGGTATTGTAAGTGCTCTTTTCTTTGAATCGGCCAACTCTTTCATACAGAATGATGGAGAACACCTTGACCTCAAAATTACACCTACATTGTTGTCTATATAAAGCTGCATTTGTAAATAGAGCGTGGTAAAATTACAGTTGTTATAGAAATAAACTCATAGAATTCATAGAAAATCATCTTTTGATGTAGTACTCTCATTTTACAATAGAGAAAACAGAAGCTAAATTCCTTGTCCAGGGTCATACGCTGGTTACTGACTAAGCCAGGAATCAATTTCAGCTTTCCTTAATTTTATATTTATAAATCGTACATAAAAATAGAGAACAGAATACAACACAGAACAAAACATGATAGATAATGTGTCAGGCATTTCCACACCCCCTTTTGTAGTTTTGTTTTCACAGAAAACTCTAAGGTGTTTTTAACGCCACCGAGAGTTGAAAACTTACTAAAGGGTAAGACCAGTGTGGACCAGTGGTGTTAAGGAAAGTTACATGAACGACTTCTTTTAACTTGGGATCAGTATAATGGAGTTGAGGGAAGAGTATTCCATGTGAAAGTACCAACATTTTGAAATTAAGAGACAATGAGGCAGGTATGAATGGGATGGGTATGTGTCTTCCTGCTACTGTATAATGGTTAAGATGAACACCAAATAGACACTGGGAAGTAAAACGCTTAGTAATCTGTCTGTTATTATGGACCATTCAGTAACTATTTCTCTCTCCTCTCCTTCTGGGACTCCTGTTGTGCAGTTAGTCAGATACAGACAATATTTAAGCCATTGTCTTCATACTGTCCTTTAATATTTTTAAGCATAATTTCCTTTAGTTTTTTGGACATATTTATAATAGCTGCTTTGAAACCTTTATCTCCTAAGTCCACTATCTGTGCCCCCCAGACACAGTTTCTATTGACTGCTTCTTTTTTTCGTGCGTGCGTGTGTGTGTGTGTGTGTGTGTGGTGTCACACTTTCTTGCACGTCCTATAATTTTTTAAATTGAAAACTGGACATCTTACACCTATTTTGGCAGCTCTGGATGTTTGAAATCCACCTCCCCTGGGATATACTGTTGCTGTTTCTTGCTCTGTGACTCACCTGGAGCACTTCTGTAGTTTGTCTCCCCATAGTCACTATTGTCTCTTTTTATTTTTTTTATTCTTGTTTTTATTTTTAATTCTGTCTTTCTAGGATTCACTTTTGGATAGCATAATTTAGTATTCAGCCAAAGATTGACCAAAGATTGTGCTTAAACGCCTTTAACAGTCCAGGTATTATGGCTCACACCTGTAATCCCAACACTTTGGGAGGCCTAGTCGGGAGGATTGCTTGAGACTAGGAGTTTCACACCAGCCTGGGCAGCATAACAAGACCATGCCTCTACAAAAAAACAAAATTACCTGGGCTTGGTGGCAAATGCCTGTAGTCTCAGCTACTCGGGAGGCTGAGGTGGGAGGATTGCTTGAGCCCTGGAGTTTGAGGCTGCAGTGAGCTATGATTGCACCACTGCACTTCTGGCCTGAACTACAGAACAAGACTGTGTCTCTAAAAAAACAAAAAACGCCTCTGAACATTAGGTTTCACTCTTTGCCAGTGATCTCTATGGGGCTGGGGAATGCATTCAAAGAAGGGGCTGGGGAGGAGCATGACCTTTTAAAAGTTAAAGGCAGTGGATGAAATAACAATACGCTACCTAATGAGAGTTTAATAAATTCCTTGCCTCAAACAGTATAAGCCAGATCACAAGTTAATTGGAATATTATTTGCATCAGGTATAATACAAGGTTATCCTTAATGTCTGAAGAGCTCATTAAGACAAATACATTAAGATTAATAGATAAATGTGAAAGGATGTGAACAATTTAAAAAACGGTAAACACTAAGCCTTTGGAAAAAAAAGTTAAACTTACCATAAAAATTGTAATAGCCGTATTTTCTGTAATCAGTGAGAAGAGATTTAAAGAGAGAATCTTTAGTTCTAATGGTGGAAATGTAAACCCATATAGAGTTTCTCAAAAGTAATACGGCAGTTATATATAGAATTCTGAAAGTGATCAAGCTCTTTAAGTTAGGGCTTTCTCTTTAATTTCTAAATTTCTTGAAATCCATTCCAGAGAATTAGCCTGAAATATATTCAAAGATGCTTGTGTAAAGGCATTTTCAGGATTATTTGTTATAGTAATAAATTGCAAGCAACCCCAGGTAACCAGTATGAGATGAACAGAACCAGAATGATTAAGCGATCAGTGGTTTGTCCATTGTAATTATTAAAGTGTACATGAGCCTTTAAAAATACAAAAAACATATATTTTCATGTTAAGTGCAATAACAATATAAAATTACATAGGTGATACGATGTCGTGGTATTACAAAGTTGACATAGAAGATAGAAGACGTTTTGTTAGAGAATGGTTTCTTTTGAGTGGAGGAATTTTAGCTTCCCACTAATGTAAGGGATAGTGATTATGGGGGAAGTCTTGGCACCACAGTCCAGAATGTGCTGGAGATAGAAACGGGCGGGCTTCTGAGGCTAGGGAGGAAGCCAGCGTGGAACATGGCAGGGACACAGGGACTTGGGCTTGGAGAGTGGCAGGGGAAGGGAGAGGAAATCAAGATCTCTTAAATGCAGATCTTTTTAATTTCAATTAGTTTTTGTGACAAAGCCAGCCAGTACTCTTGCCTTTATTTTCTCACATACGTACTGTTTGCAGTCAGTCTGTTAGCTGTGTCTTAGGGTGCCCTTGTTGTGTAGGTAGTTGAGCATTAATTAAGATCAGGGCGGCTTGATGCAGTGGAAGGTGTACAGCCTTTTTGTTGAATCATCAGTGCTGCTTAGCCTGGGTGGCCAGGAGCTTTGACCCTGGCTTCCTGA